CTGAATTATTCAATAGTCTGGAAAAATACTCAAGGCTCGAGATCCTGTGGTTAGCAGTTGCGCTCTAATGAGAAGACGTCTCGGCAAAGCTTTAGGCAAAAAATTGCAAGAGATTTGAATTTTCACCGGCCTGAAACTTCGCAACGTCACTTTCTCATTAGATCGCAACAGCATACCGCAGAAGTTTGAACCAGCGTTTGAGAAACTCTCTGAACACACGAAATCGGAAAAAATATTGATGCGAAGAGATAGAATTGAACTTTCCGACGACGTTAGAAGATTCTTTTAATGATTGAATTTCATATATCACATCGCAAATCAGTGAAAAACAAATGATGATAAGAGAAAACCAGACCCTCTTCTTCTTCTTTTTCTTCTTTTTTTTTCTTTTTGATCGTTCGTAAAGCTTATGAAAAGAAAAAGAAAGACATTTAATCATTGATCCTTCGAAAGACAGACACCTGGCAATTAGGGAAATAGAAGGTTTCCCCCTGGTTGTCGTTTGATATCAAACGAAGCTCAAGCGTGCATATAGAGAACAAGAAAGGAAAAAGAAGGTAGAAAGAGAATATGTTTGTATTGAAAAAGGTGTAATATAAAAGAATGGAGACGACAAGTTATCAAAATGGAAATAAACTGACACAGAGAAAGATAGAGATAGAGAGAAGCAGAGAATGTTCTGATAACAACATTTGCATTTGCAGGTTTAGGAGAGGTACTTTTGAATACATTTCAAAAAAAAAAGAGAGAGAGAGAGAGAGAGAGGAATAGATAAATATAAATTTTGTCTGGAAATGAGTAATGGAGTTTCTGGGAACGACGCACATTGGGAGCATAAAATCAGAAGTTTTGAGAATTATTCGGAAGGTACTTTTAATTTTGAGTCAATTTATCTCAGCTCTCGTTGAAGATATCAAAAAGAAATCAACTGACGAAATATTTTTGATATTAGGATAAACATTTTGTCAGCTGAACACTTTTCAACATCTTTTACAGAAAATGAGATATACAGTTGAGCAATTGAGCTCAAAGTGGACGTTCAATTGAGTGGACGTTCAATTGACAATTGAGCTCAAAGTGGACGTTTTGGGTTGGCTTCATTTAGAGGAAAACGGTAATAGGGCATTTTGCTTCGATTGGTTTCAGACTTAAAAACAATGAAAATTCTTTTCAGACAGATTTTAATCGAACCCCAATCAGTTTTTTAGGAATCGCCTAGTACTCAAAATCAGCGGGATCCTTTTTCAATCAGTGACCACAATCAAGAGTTTGAAATTTCAGAATATCTCGGATTACGGTCGAAACTTCTATTTTAAAATCCAAAAATCACTTTTTGTTTCATTGATTTCCAAACTACTCTCTCTATTTCTCTCTTCGCGACCTACCGTACACCCGGCTTTTTTGGTTGCTCTCTTTTCACTCAACTGGCTTTTCGGCCGCCGCCTCGTATAGTAGTCAGGTGGGAATCTTGTCACGTCTGGAATGGTGACAAACGAATTGAGAAAAACGGTCGAAAATGCGGCCGAGTTAACAAGAAGACAAATAAATGGCAAGAAGAAGATGGAGATGGAAAATAGTGGACAGACTCTGGACAGCATTCGAGTGAATTTTTGGGATCTGCAGAAATCAAGAGCTGGAGAATTGCAATTTGGTATTACAACCATTGTGAAAGATATCAAAAACTTGTCAACTAATAAAATATCGGGGAAACTATGATAAATAACTTGCCAATTAACAAGTTCTTGATATCTTTTACAGGAAGCGAGATAATTTAGCTCAAAGTTGACGGTTCCCTCACAACGGCTATCGTTCCCAGTTCGAGATTTTTACGGCTCTATAGGTTCAAACAGAATAACACAGCTTTCGGGAAAAAAAAAGTGTTAATGAATCACTTTTTAATACATGTAAATCCCATTTTGACTGGTTGTCCATGAAAAAGTTTTGATCCGTTAAATCAATTCAAGACCCAATAAATGTACACGGTGGGTCACAATTACCCGGACTAAAGTTTGCGGATAATTTTTGCTAGTAGATAACTTGAGTAAACGGGGGCTCAAATTTGGAAAGCAAAAATTCGGAAAGTTCATCAGTAAACAGGCCAAGTTTCAAACAATTTGATCAACTTAGAGCTGAGTTATCGCTTGTCAAGGTGTAGTAGTAGATGATGAGAGGGCTAATCTCGAACAAAGTTGCTTCATCTCATGAAAATCACAAGAAACATTACACCGTTCATCTTTGGACAATCATAACAATACCTAGACTTAAGGAATCGCTTTGAAAATTTCAGTAGATTTGAATCAAGCCCATTATTGTATTTCTATCAATTTTCGTACTTCCAAGATATTTAACTCTGAAGATATACCCGTTTCTATCAGTACGGATAATTATGGTCACCCGGTAAGATACTCAATACTCTTTTTTCAGATTAAAAACAGATATTTCCATTTCCTCGATGTTTCCTACAGTGATCATGTTCCTTTGAATGTCTTGAACGTTCTAAAGATCAACTAAACAAACATTAGTTTACATAGCTAATTGTTGATCAGAAGAGAGTATCATCTTGACAAATAAATTCCAAGAGAGGGGTCAAGAAGAGGAAACGGTTCTTGTCGGTGTAGTAGTAGATGATGAGAGGGCTAATCTCGAACAAACACGGAAATCGGTAAGAGTGTATCAGTCGAGTGGCTGGCCCCGGAACACGGCTCAAACATGCCGACCGCAAGGACTTCTCTATTTAGGGAGGGGCGGTCCGGTCCGTGTTGTTTGCGTAAGTTACAGGAGAGAGATGGCTCTTCTGCTTATCATTGAGATGTCTACCACTTGAGAAAATGAGATCAACCGGCTAATGGGTAGTCACTTTGGAGAAACGGACAGATTGGAGAGTTTGAGAAAATGGCATTTTTGGAAGAAATCTGTCCGGAGAAAAAATTGCTTCAAAACCTGTAATAGAAGGTCCCTAGGCATATTTCTGACCCACCTGATACACCGTATTTCCTGTAATAGAAGCCCACCCAAACAGTCAATTTTGAGCTCAATTATGTAAATTTCTGGGAAAGATATCAAAAAGGCAACTTTTTGACATTTTTCACAGGAACCGAGATAAATTAGCTCAAAGTTAAAAAGCCTTTCTGTTAAAGGTTTTAGGGTTTTTAATTACATTTAATTAGGGGAAGACAAACTGTAAAAAACAACACATCATAGTTTTATTTCTCGAAGATCACTGTATTGTTTCAGATCGGCCTGGCCTGATAAAAAGGGAAAATCCTTTGACATAGGTATCTTGGAAGCACGAAATTTGGAAGAAATATAATTTCTTGTTTGATTGAAAGCTACTGAAATTTTCAAAGCGATTCCTTAAGTCTAGGTATTTTTTGTGAATTTCCAGAGATGAAATGTTTCTTTTGATTTCCATGAGATGCAACAACTTTGAAAAGCGATAACTCAGCTCAAAGTTGATCAAATAATTTGAAAGTTAGCCGGTTTACTGATGAATTATTTGAATTTTCACACTTTAAATTTGAGCCTAGTATAACGCTGTACTCAGATTTTTTGCTAGTACAAACTTTAGACCAGACAATTATGAGCCACTCTGTAGAACGAGATGTTCTTCCAATCTCGAACCTTATGAAACAAAAATAATATATCTGGAATTTAACGAGAAAAATAGTGTTATCACAAGATTGAGGAGTCGTCTTTGTATTCCAGCGATGTCTGAAATTGGAGTTTTTGGCTGTACGATAGACCGTAAACGCTCTAATGGAACGTCCCTCAAACCGTCAACTTTGAGCAAATTTATCTCGGCTCCTGTGACAGATATCCACAAGTGGCCAACTGAATAAATGTTTTTGATAAACTAATAAACAATTTATTAGTTGACTACTTTTTGATATCTTTGATAAGAACCGAGATATATGATCTCAAAGTTGAAAATGAGTGCTGTCGTTCTATTAAGCTGTGTATACGGTAGATTGGATTTTTTCTATCAGGATTTATTCAAAAAGACAAAATTTTCTAAGAAAATATCAAAAAGTTAAAACTTTTCAGGATTTTCTTGTTTTAAACTCTGTCGGGTAGATCTTCTGATCCAGGAATAAAGCCAAGAAATTTTACACAATCTGTTATTTTTCCAATGTTCCCGAATCGTTGTGTCCAAAAGTCGACTTTTCGAATTTTGGACCGTCACGATTCGCGTATTGTTTCGTTTATCTACTGAACTCCTCTCTTGACCTCAAAACGACCTTAAAGTTCAATCTGAGAATGTCTTTTTGATCCGAAGAAGCTCCCACCTACTTCTGTCGGTCTTTTCATAGGCCACCCACCGTGTCGATTATCCCATTCACACACATACGGTAAGAAATAGTCCAATTCGTATTGCTAACATTAGCAGGAAGGATTATGTGTGTAAAACGGGAAGTATTTACGATTAGAGTACGGTAGCTCTATCGACTTGTTGAACTTTAGTCGAGGATTTTGGAGACTGAAAAGTGAAAAGGATTGAAAAAAGATGCATAGGAATAGACGTACATATATCAAGTGGAGTGAAAAGCAAAGAAAATGTAATCGTTTTGGTTTGGTCGTAAAAGGACGAACCAGTTGACTTTGTATTCTCTGTTTTGATTGCCACTGCCGGTGTCAAATGCTTCTTTTTTGCTGTCGTTTACTTTCTCTTTTTTTCACTGCAATTTTTTATATTTTTGAATCAATAAATTATTTCGCCAACAGGATAGGACCATAAGCATTTTAATATAGTGCCACCATAACCTTAAACTTTGAGCCAATTCATCTTGGTTCCTGTAGAAGATGTCAAAAATGTGCTAATTGATAACCTGTTTTTTATAATCTCGCCAATATTTTATCAGTTGAAACATTTTTGATATCTTTCACAGGAATCGAGATAATAGAGCTCCAAGTTGATAGCCCACTATTAGATCTTCAGCCGCCGTTTGTACGCTTTTCGGCAACCCCTGTGTAGTACTACGACTTTAATAATCATGAACAAATTCAATTCGTTATTTCAGCATTAAGAAAACTTTAATATTTTCTATTTCTTTTTGACTTTCTTAGACTTTACAGGAAAACATTTGTTTTCTATCCCCTGCAACAAAGCATCCAAATGATTCAATGACCCATCTCTGAATTTATGAAACGGAACATTTCTCCAAAAAATCGATTCTTCGTTTTCTAGTTCCAAAGCCAATTTTTGCAAAAGTCAAAATTGTGAAAGAAGTGAATCCATATACGCAATTATAATCCGGAACTCACCTCCAATTTTTTTTCATTCTTTTTCGTCTCTTTCCATAAATGTAGAATAGACACAACGCAACACAACAATTATGGAAAATAGGGGAATATATTGAAAACATATTATGTTTGTTGTGGAACATGACTATTGTTGTTGAAATTGTATCTTGTTCCAAATCAGTCGTCATTCGGCAAAAAAGTGTCATATGCCTGAAATAGATGTTAAGGTGAGAGGTGAGTGGAATTCCTTTTCCTACTTCCCAATTTTCAAATTTCGCTCCTTTTTTCCTTCTTTTGTTTCCTTGATTTTTTTTTAAGTTTTCGGGGTAATTTGAAAAATTTCTGTTTTTTCGAAGTTTTTTCTAAAAATTGCTTTCAAAACTGTGTTTATTCCTCCTTCTTCCAGGGGTTTTTCATCCGTTTTATCTTCTGAAATTCCGTAGTTTTTGAATTTCCCGAATTTTTTCCGAACTTATGAAATTTCAAATGATTCGAATTTGGAAAATTTTCAAAAACTTCCATTTTTTTTCGAACTTTGAGGTTTGAATCTTTCAAATTTTCAAGTCTTTCGATTTATTACAACTTATAGCTTTGAGAATTTTCAAATTTTGTAGCAGTTATAATGGTTACCGTTTTCATTCGAAGTAGTTCTTATTTTCTGAGTCATGGTACCACACTCTCAAAATGACCCAGTTTCTGATAACGCCGTTCAAGCTTTCTCCACTTCTGATGTTTGAATGTTCTTATTACATTTTCTCAACGTAGTCTCGAGGTTCTTTCCCTCTCTCTCTCTCTCTTTTCATTTTTTTTGTAATTCATCCCAATGTCATTAGCCTTCAATAACCTCTCTTTCCATTTTCCTTTTTCTTACTTTGTTTTACACTTTCCATGTCAGTCTATCGTAATCTGGAAATACGATCGTTCTCTCGATTTCTCGCCCTTTTTTGACTGACTTCGACATGCATCAATTACCGATAATTCAAATTGTTTCGCAACATGTTTACATGAACCTGATGGATTCTCTTTCTATTTTAAATTTCTTTCTGAAATTTTCAATACAATTTTCGAATGTTTGGTCAGAGAACCGGTTGAATTATTTCTGCTGAAAATGCAAATTCCTCAATGTTTTTTTCAAACATCAATCCTTTACTTGTTTTGTAATTAGTTTATTATTCATCTACTTTTTCCAATTTTTTCTCTATTTCTCATCTTCTCTTTTCTTTTTTTCCACAGAGAAGCATCTTTTCCGTTTCTCCATGCTCCTAGCTGGCAAATATTTCGCATTCCTTTTTATAAGAATTTAAAAAACGGATTTTTTATTTTGTGCAGAAAATATGTAGATTCTCATTAAAACAATTAAAAATTCAAAAAAAAAGTTCCCTAATTGAGAAAAAGGCATCAAAATTTCATAAAATTTCTGGAAGTTTGCAATTTTTGAAGTTTCCGAATTTTTGAAGTTTCCGAATTTCTGAATTTCTGAAGTTTCTGAATTTCCGAAGTTTCTGAATTTCTGAAGTTTCTGAAGTTTCCGAATTCCTTAATTTCTGAATTTCCGAATTTCTGAATTTCTGAATTTCTGAATTTCTGAATTTTTGAATATCATACTCTCAGAGTCTCAGAATCTCAGAATTCCAAGATCTCAGAATCGCAGAATATTTTAATTTCAGAATCTTCGCTTTTCGAAATTCCGAAAAAAATTTTCGATGCGGTTTTCTTAATGAGGGATTTTTCAAAAAAATGTTTGCGATAATATTTGGAAATGCAATAAAAATTTTTGGTTGGAGTCCTCTTCAAAGAGTAATTCGGTTTCCTTTTTAATTCGAAAATCAATTTCAAAAAGCCAAAGAAAATAAAAGTCTAGACAAAATCGGGTATTTCCCATTTCTCGCTCCTCTTTTCTCTCTTTTTTTTTCTCGATTTAAAGGTCACTCTTGTCAAGAAAAAAAGATTTCCTCTTTCTTTGCGAGAGAGGTAACCATCAACAAAAAAGTATCGTGTTTATTTTTTCTACCCTTTCCTTCCCTTTTTTCTTCTTTCTTTTGTTCTGTCCCCCTCCATCGTCTCACAATTTCGATCGGGTACAAAACGGTTCGTCCACTTCAATTTGTAAACTTGTTTCTTTATTTTTTCTCACACTCCTTCTTTTCCCCTTTCATCGCTTGATTCAATAATTCAGAACAATTGAGATGTTTTTTTGTTCATTTTCTTTACATTCCTAAAAACACAGGATGTGTTGAATCAATTGCGTTTTTTCAGAGGATGGACGACTACTGGCAGGTAGATGATGAGAGAGTGTGGAGACAAAGAGGCACAGAGAAGCAGAAACCTTTGAGTGTCACGCTCAAAAAATATTCATTGGTGAGTGTCCGGAATACTGGATTAACTTTGGAGTAAACATTTGGGTCAAAAAGAAACTGAAAATGAAAAAAGTAACAACTTTTTAAAAATTAAAATATCAAACTTCCGAAAACTTCATAGTGTTTCTTCCAGAATTTTCTATATTCTTGCTTGATCCTACTAGAAAACTCTATGATCCTCCTAGATTCTTCTAGATCCTCCTAGATCCTGCTAAAATCTTCTTGAATATTCCAGATCCTTCCGTGGTCTACAGAATCATTCCAGACCTTTTAGAATCCTTTTGGATCATTTTCGATCCTTCTCAATTTTTCTATGATCCTCAGAATTCTACCACAGTCTTCTATATTCTTCCTTTATCTCACTATTATAGCATCTTCTATGATTCTTTTACAAGATCCTTCTATAGATCCTTCTATAGCCTTCGAGATCATTTAAGACCCTCCTGTGATCTTCAAAATCTTTCCAGATCTTTTAGAATCCTTCTAGATCGTTTTGGAGCTCGGCTGTCAAGTTTCCGATCACTTTGAAAATTTTGGAAGCTATACAACAGACTTAGATTGAAAACTTTGCATTCCCAGAATTTTTTGAATTCTCGAGAAAAAATTGATTTTTCTTCAATTTTTTGCAAAAATTTTAGACCTTTTCAGTTTTTTTAAGCTATTTTTAAAGATTCTTTTTTGATTTTTCTAAATTTTTTGTCTGAAATTTGACGAGATGGTGTTCGCAAAGCTTACTGTAGATTACTGTAGAAAGTTATTATTTAACATTGTAGTCTCTCTTTTTTGGCAAACACAATCACGTTAAAATGCAGACAAAAACTTAGTTGCAAGAAAAAAACTAAAAAGGTAATAAGTTTCTACAGTAAACTACAGTAATCTTTGCGAACACCATCTTGTCAAATTTCGGACAAAAAAATCGGAAAAATCGAAAAAAAATATTCAAAAATAGCTGAAAAACCTAAAAATGTCTAAAAATTTTGCAAAAAATTGAAAAAAAATTAATTTTTTTCCTCGAGAATTCAAAAAATTTTGTGAAATCTGAGTCAATCTGAGTCTGTTCTATACCCTCCGAAATTCTCAAAGCTCCAGACTCCTGAAAATAGTCAAAATGACTGAAAATCTACGAATAAATACGATTTTGTATATCTTATTGACCGGTAATGTATATTTTCTTGGTCATATGGGAACTATCAGTTTCTATTGGCTGAATTTTCGGAATCGATTTAACGAAGAAATCAAAATCACAGCCATCTTCTTCGTTCAATTTTCTTTGTAGTCTGATCATCATTGACCTTTCTAACTACCATCTTCTTTTGCAAATTACTTTTACCTTCACCAAAGTATCAATGATTTTGAAAGACCAGAAAATCAAGGCGATCAGAAATCGGTACCTTGAGAATCCATCCAAATTAGCAAGTTATCAAAAAGAAGACTACAAACACACACTCCATTTGTATTTTGTGATTCTAAAAGTTTTCGAACAATAATCATTGATTGTGTCTCGTCGTTCTTCGTCAAACATCCTTAACCCTGTTGATTCATCCTCCCTTTTCTCAATCTGTCACATTTTTCAGACGATCGCCGCATTCTCTATGCTTTCGCATGTGTTTCTAGATGGTCTCTTATCGGTTTCTTTGCTCTCAGCAGTCATGTTCACATATGTTCTATCGTATAGAAAAGCTCGAGTGAATGTATGTGAAACATATTACGACTTGAGAAGGAACTATTACAAAGTAAGTGAATTTTTTTGATGAGAATAGCAAAATAGCGATTTTCGTGATTTTTTATTTTAGATAAAAAACTATCTCACTACATGTTTTCAGACATGTGTTCTCATTTTCTCATCAACGTTCCTTGCGATTCTGCGAGTTGCTTTTATTTCGTTGAGTGATGAATCACGATTCTCATTGGTTCGTTTTTTTTCTTCTTGGCATTCTAAGAATCTGAAATATCGAAAATCCGGAAAATTGATTATCTTGATTCTTGATTCTTAAGATTTACAGAACCGGACAAAATAGCAAACACTCTAACACATAGTAGCTCCCCCTTCCTTATCTTTAACTTTGAGCTCTCTTATCTCGGTTACTGAAAAAGATATAAAAAAGTTATCAACTAAAAAAATATTCTTGACATTATGATGAAGATTTTTCCAGTTGACCACTTTTTTGTCTTTCACAGGGAACGAGATATATTGGCTCAAATTTAATGGTTTAGGGGCTCTATCAGATTGTTTACGGAATTTTGGCTTGTTCAATGGAAGATAAACAACTTTGAAGTTATTTTAAAAAAATTAGTTCAGAACGCTTTGATTAGTCTATAAAATTCACACCATACAAAGCAAAGTTAGATCGTTTCAGTTTTGAAATTGACAACTTTTCAATTAACAATTACAATCAACAAAACGAGAAGCGGTTTTAATTTGGTACAACTCTCCTCTATATATGTACCTGCAAATTGTCAATGCGAATTTGGGAACTGACATATCTCATCAGAATGGAATTCGGGAAAAAAGTTGTCAATTACAAAAATGAAGCTCTATTTTTGTTTAGTATACTGTAAAAATTTCAGACAAAGAGAACAGCTCTAAACCGCTTTTGTAGGAATGCACATTTATTATATCCCACTGAAAAATCAAAAAACGTAACCATACACTTTGAGCTCAATTTGCTAAATTTCTTCAAGAGATATGAAAAAATTGTCAACTAATAAATTACTTATCACAACATCATCAACATTTTATCAGTTTACCACTATTTCATATCTCTTACAGTAACCGAGATAATTAAGTTCAAACTTGACAGGGTGGCCCTTCAACATATTACAGGTCCTACGGTATGTGTGAGATTAGTGGGCAGCAAACTTTGCTCTGTTTCAAAGTTTTATAGGCAGAATTTCAAGGATATTTTTCTTTTGATATCCCACAACGTTTAAATGAACAACTAATTTTTGTTTCAATTTTAAAACTATTTGGACCAAACGAAATAATTTTTTATAATTTTTTCATTTCAGTACCTCGCTTATCTGGCCCTATTTCTCGCATTCACCGAGAATCTTCAAATGATGAGTGAAGCTGAATCCTACACACCTCCACCGCCTCCTCTAGTTTATGCGAGAAGAATGCCACGGTATGCAGCGGCTGGATAAACGGTTACATCTACTTTTCGGTGCTACTTGATCTCCATTCAAATTACGATCTCACTCTCTTTCTCTTTTTTAATTGATGATTCTTGCTTGCTTTAAAATTTTTATTTTTCAGTATTTGATAAAAATTTGATTTTATGTGAGGTGGTACAAAGTTTACACTAAAACCTGAAACAGAAGGGTTCCCACACAGTCAAGTTTGAGCTCAGTTATCTCGATTTCTGTGAAAGGTATGAAAAAGTGGTTGACTGATAAAATGTTTGTGATATCATGATAAGCAATTTATCAGTTGACAAGTTTTTGATATCTTTCACAGAAACCGAGATAAATTAGCTCAAAGTCAAAGGTGGGCTTCTATTAGAGGGAATACGGTAATTCTAGCGTTTGAACGTCATACTCAAACATTTTCTGTAAAGAGTGTACTTCTTGTTTAATTAATCATCTTATTTTCAATTGGTTGAAGCTGTTTGAAAATGTCCGACGAGCTCTTGGATCCCTGTCCGTTGATGCTCCTTTCTCCAGAATTATCGCAGTCATATGGTGCTTCGGTTGAAGGATGCTTCCAGTCTTTCTATGGAAAATGACTAATTCCTTGTTATTTCTCAAACCCAAAGTCCAACTCTTTCTGAAAAAACCTTTTTATGTTTCTAATAAAATTTTCAATAGAATACTGTAACCTTCCATTCCACATTGTTTTTCTTGTTTCTCTTATTGTATCATCAATTTGAGCCAACAATCGATTCAAACGGAAATTTGATCGTGGAGGTGCAGAGGCAGTAAAACACAATCCCACATCAACTTCCTCCCATTCCAACAGTTTTTCACAGAATTGTGTGAAAGTTTCATTCCATCCGATAGTCTGATGAATTTGAATCTTTGATTTTGGGTTCAGTGGCATTTCAATCAAGTCTAAGGAATCCAATTCTTGAGATTTTATGGTCAACTGGTCTGCCATGTGCACCTAAAACTTTGATATTATTCTAATACAGAAAAATTCGGAGCTTTGGAAGGTAAAAGCTTGTGGGCGTGGCTAAAGATCTCACAACAATAGCTACAGTAACCTAGAAAAATGTTTGTTTTTATGATTTATTACCGTAAAACCTGTATTAGAAGGGTCGGCCCTTCTATTGTGATAAGATACCTCTGAAGAGCCCTTCTATTACAAGGGCCCTTCAATCAGAGGGCATCCCTTCTATTTTTCCAAGCCCCTGTTGTAGGGAACTTCTATTAAATTTTTTCGATGAAAATCTTGCGAAATTTTGGTGAAATTGGCTGATTTTCATGAGTTTTGAACGAAACTTCGTCAAATTTTTTGATGCGAAATTTCGGAAAAAACTGGCCGGAAAAATAGAAGGGCCACCTCTATTTGAAGGGCCCCTGTAATAGAAGGGCTCTCCGGAGGTACCTTACAATAACAATAGAAGGGCCGGCCCTTCTAATACAGGTTTTACGGTATGTTTAGATTACTGTAGGCATGAATATTCTCACCATGGGAAGCGCTAGAATGGGTGCTTGTTTGCAATAGTTATCCACGATTACATTTGGAAATGTCATATTTTTGAAATTCCTCAAAGAATCGCTGATGTCCCTATTCACTATCAATTTTAGAGAAGCCACTTTCTTTGGGAAGAACGTGCTGGATGGCCAGGATGCATTCTAAAATTTACTTATTTCGAGAAAGACCTAAAACGAAAAGTTACCCTGATCGTCAGCTGAATTATAGAGATATTTTTATGATTGAGATATGCCTCAACACATCGACCAATCACATCTCTTGGAACGTTTAGGAATTTCCGTCTTCCTTCTATAAAAACAGCCACACGATTTTCTGCAGCGCTTTCAAATCGAATCATTTGTCCATCGATCCAAAGACTGATTGTGTTTGTTGCATAATCGTCCCTCAACTGAACCATTTTCAGAATACATGGAATCTTCTCATTCACTTTTCTGATAAACGAAATTTTTCGTGCAAGTTGTTCTCTATAAAATAAGATTATTAGTTACAGTAAAACCTACGATAGAAGAGCTCCTTAAATTTGAGCTAAATTATCTCGGTTACTGTAAGAGGTATCAAAACTTTGTCAGCTGATAACATATTTGTGAGGGTACCACTAACATTTCATCATTTGACAACTGTTTCATATCTTTTACAGGAACCAAGATAAATGAGCTCAAAGTGCCAGTTTTCCGGGAAAAGTAGTTAGCTTTGGAGCCCTACAAAAAAGTGTCTAGAATCTTTGGATCTGTCTGAAAATTGGAGAGTACACTAACCATGAAAAGATGTAAATTTTTGTGATTGACAACATTTTACTAGCTATCGTAGTTTTTGAGATATGCGCCTTTAAACATAACGTTTTTTGTAGAAACATGCCAAAGAACGACAGAGTTGTGTTGGATTTATTCACAGAAGTTGACAATTACAAAACTAAAACTCTATTTTTGTGTAATATGCTCTGAAACTTTCGGCAACTCGAAACTTTCTGGACTATATTTTTCCGGACTTCAAAGTTGACTATTTTCTATTAAAAAGGTCTTATACTGTAAAACCTGTAATAGAATGGCTCCTATGCAAGATTTCAAAAAATGTGTCAACTGATGATTATTATAATATCAACAATATTTATCAGTTGACAATTTTTTTCATATCTTCGACAGGAATCGAGATAATTAAGCTCAAAATTAATAGTACAGGCTTTATGTGGTTATTCGGGTAACCTGCAAAAAACTCGGCGAAAACTAGAACAATCTGGCTGAAACTTCTAGGGAAAACTGAAAGAAAAACTATGGGGAACATACTAAAACTTTAAAATTTAGAAATATTTGACGAAATTTGTTTGCCCCAAAGTTTCAGCCAGAGTTTCAGCCAGAGTCTCTGAGTTGCCGCGGATTTTTAAAAACAAATATTTGCAGATTACCTGAATAACCCCCATTAAAGTGTTACTCTGGTCTAATTTCAATGCGCGTTGCGGTCGAAAATTCAGTTCTAATCGTAAGCAGCTACGGTTTTCCAAATTATGCATGCGCCTTTAACACCGTACCTCGCACACCGTAAAACCTGTATTAGAAGGGCCCCTGATATTGAAAGGCCCCTCTAATTGAAGTGCCCCCCAAGACACCTCACGAAAAATAGAAGTGCTCCCTCTATTTGAAGGGTCCCTCTATTTGTCGTACCCCCTCTAATTGAAGTGCCCCTTTGACTACCTCCTTTGATATTCAGCCGTTTTTCTGTTCTTTTGATTGAATCACTGTATGATTTTAAAAAATACTGGCACCTGAGAATTTGAATGCCGTGGCTCTAATACAGATGTTTCTCTCGTTTGAGAAATTTTCGCAATCAAGCATGGCGTTTTTGATTTGAAAAATTCTAGACATTCTAGCGATCAAAATGTTATCAAAAAGTCTGAATTTTAATCAGAAAATCCCACTAAATTCGAAGAAGTTAATTTCGTTCAATAAAATGGCGGATTCAAGGACGAGGCCCGGTAAAACGGCGCCCGCGAAATTTTCAGGTGCCAGCTTTTTTTTAAAATTCGACAATATTGGTGTTTTCACTTTTTTCATATAGAAACTGTAATGGATTTTTAGTAGAAATTTTTATCACTGAAAAATTATGCCCCTCCAACAGAAGATCCGTTCTCAGAGGACCCACGAAAAATACAAGTGCCCCCTCTAATTGAAGGGCCCCTCTAATTGAAGTGCCCCCTAGGGACCCCACGAAAAATAGAAGGGCCGGCCCTTCTAATACAGGTTTTACGGTATTTTAATTTTTGCATTTTCCCCTATCTTTTTGGTCGTTTTTGACAATTTTTGTTTGATTCTTATTAATCTTCAATTTATTTTAATTTAAAAAGAGAAACAGCAAAATATGGGCTCAAAATAAATTAATCGCGATGTACGGCATTAAAGGATCATTTAAAAACTTACCTTGTGTGATATGTCATATGGGTGAGAAGCACCCTTAAAACGGGATAACTGACTGGAGTCATTTTAAGAATTGATTTTTCTTTTTCAGAAGAATGAAATTGGGTAGTAGAAATAGGAGATGTAAGGAAAAATGTAAAGAAATAGGAGATGTAATCTTTTAAATGGTATGTATCGACTCGGTCGATACTATTGATTTGGCTGTTCTTCCGTCCCATTTGAATATGGCCCATCCCCTTATGGGGAATGGGGAACACCGCAAACACCATACAGATGGTTTGTTGTGAATCCGCATTTATTAAATAAAACCGAATAATTAAAAGCAGGTGACGATTAACTGTAGAATACATTAAATGTATTTTCGTGAGTGTGAATCAATGACATGTAGTCCGTGTGCAAGCAGTGAAACCGCCGGCACATGGCTCTGCAAGACTTCTCAAGCTTCGGAAAGTCTAGCAGATTTGAGGGACATGATGTAGGGGCGGATAATAATAGGATCAATAAGAAACACAACAATCAACAGAGCCTGATGGAATACTAATAGTACACATTAAAAAAGAGAGATAACAGAATTGATGAGATTTGGGAGAGAATTTGATTGGTTGTTAGATGGACAACGATTTCCTAGGTGAACTTTTCAGTTCAGAGCTTTCTCCGCTCACGCTCTTGTTGGGTAGGTGGTGGTGGTGTACCTTTGCGGTCGAGGTTGTCTGTAATTAGCTCTATGATTGAGAATTGGATAAAAATCTTACCGATATAATCCTCAAGCATACGATCACGTTCCGCAGCATTCATCGCTGTCATTCGAACCCAACGCTTATCCTTTTCTAGTACGGCCAGAATATCTTTCATGTGATCTTCTCCTTCCTCCATCAACTTCTTACTTTTGTGAGTAATCGTCTTGGTTTCTGTCAACATTTCTCTGAATTCTGCTGCGAGTTGAACGTGTCGTCTCTCTTGCCATTCTCGGAAATCCTTCTCTACTTTCTGGAAAATAATAAAATAAATGCTGACCCAATAGTTACAATTTCACTTACTCTTTCAGAGTTGCTAGCAACTTTCATGAATGTTTCTTCCTCGGCCTGAATGACTTTCTTTGCATCGCGCCAACGCATAACCGGAGTGATCGTATCGTGGTTATCGAGTACTTGGAAAAATGCATCCTTCCGTTTTCGATCAAGCGTTTTGATGTGATCATCGAACAGAGACTCTTTGCGCGATTTGTCCAGCAAATCACAACTTGAGTAGCGATCGTCTTTTCTGAGAACTCTTCTTGCATCATGCCAACTTGTTTCCGTGGTTTTGATCAAGTCAATCAGAAGATTGCGATAGGTTTCTTCGCTTTCAGCAAGCTTGTGTTTCTCACTTTCTTTGTTGCGCTCTCTTAATTGATCACCCAGTTCTGCCTCGACTTCTTTTTGACGATTTGCTATCGCTGCTTGGGTTGCTAGACGTTTTTCTCTCTCTTGTTCTTCCTCGATGTCCTGAAAATACAATTTTGCTCAATGAAGGGATAAAACAAATCTTACAGAAGCCGTTTCGTCTCCCAAATTGGCGACAAAATCTCGGAACAGAGATTCCCGTGTAGAGCTACTATCCAGTGCAATGTATCGCTCTTCCTCTTCTAGAGTTTTTTTGACAGCGGACCACTTGGACTTGCGAGTCAGTCCAGTTTGCTCTTCAAGAAGTTTCACAAATTCGGCTTTCAGCTTTTCTTTCTTCGCACGTTTCTCATCTTTCTCTTTTTTGTAAAGATCTCCCACAAACTCGTTGAAAAGTTCCTCCCGATCACGATTCCTGTCTACTGCTTTGAAACGAGAATCTTTTTCATACTTTGAGCAGAAAGATTTATAAGAAGATCGACCGTTCAAGTCAGCTTCGGCGAGCAATTTGGAGAAGTCCGCTTTGGCTTCTTTGAGTTTTTTCTTCTTCTCTGCCCTCTCAGCCTCTACTTTTTCTCGGCAAAAAGCATCGAAACAAGCGCGGCGTTCAGTTGCTCCGAGAGACAAATACCGTTTGTCAAAAACAATTTTGGATAGTTCTTTCTCGAAAGTGCTTCCGGTGTTCACTTTTTTCTCTTCCAACATTTCTTTGAATTGTTTGAGTCTCTCTTCCAAAGGGACTTTCTCACGTTCTTTAGCAGCGGCCATCTCTGCTTCAATTGCAGGATCAATCGGTTTTTGAAGCATCTGACGAGGACGTTCTTTTTCTTTCTTTTGAGCAGCAAGCAAAGCCTCTTTCTTTTTCTCCGCTCGGCTTTTCTTTGGCTTTGGTGGTCCGTCTTCATCCGAGTCTTCTTCTGAATCACTATCTTTTTTGACAGGTTCTTCCTCTTCTTCTTCAGCCTTTGGAGTTGGAGGACTTTGGAGGAGTCTGTCGACATCGTCACGTCCGTAGGTATCTGGAGGACGTTCCCATACAGAAGTTTTTGTCGATGGATTATAGAAGAACACTTTTTTGTCTCCAGTCCAAACGACGCACCAAGGAGTGCCGCTTACAGGGGTGCTGCTGATAGGACGGGTAGAATCTTTCTTTTTGGCTGCCTCAGCATTCACAGCTGCAGCCGCGGCAGCGCCTGAAGCTTGAGCTTTGGAGATCGGCATACCACCACCCCCATTGGAAGTGTTCTTCTGTTGAGCCATGAATGCAGCCAGTGCAGCTTGTGCTTTAGCTTGAGCTTCCGCGATCGCAGCAGATTGAACTGGTTCTGGTGAGTCTTTAGATCCGTTCTCCTTATCTAGAAGTGCTTTCGGCTTCTCCCACGTGTTTTCTTGGGTGATAGAGTTGTAGTAGTACTTCCGTCCATCAGGGGCGCTGAATTCACTCCATGCTTCATCTGGATTCTGGGGATGACCATGCATTGGTGGCGCTGAAAATTGAAACTTGTCATAAATACAGAGAGATTTGTATTGACTCTAATGTGTATTTAGAGCCAGCCCCTAAGTGGACCCCAAATGCTTCGAGATAGTATGTTACTTATGTAGACTATGACTGAATGGGAAACTTAGAAAAGTAGACATTACACAATAGACGCTGGGAAGAGTCTCGCACGGCACAGAATGTATCTCCATCTCGCTCTTGGTAAATCGGCTGATGTCCCGCACATTTTTCCTGTGGCTGAGAAACAAGACGAACATTTAATTAGAACCACTTTTAATTCTTTTTTTTTCAAACTTATTTCTGGATTCTTTTTACTTTTTCTAACAAACGCTTTTCAGCTTTCGCAGCAATGAAGAGGAACGACTAGAAGAGCGACATAACTTTATGAAGGAGAGAAGAACCTAGGATCTGAAAAATCTATGCCAAAATTGAAACTTTACCTCCTGAAATTGAATTAGCAAGAAGAAGATAACAGATAAGCGACAAATGGATATCTTGAAAAAAAATGAGGAGCAACATACCTTCGCGATTCTTTTCCTCTTCTGTGGCTCTGCTAATTAATTGAGCTAACTCTGGCTGACTGACAATTTTAGAGTTTTGAGGACGCTCCCAGATCGTATTTCTGTTCACCGGATGATAAAAGTATTTCTTGCCTTCAGCTGTCTCCGTTTCCACCCATAACTCTTGTCCTTCTTCACACCCGGCTAACTGCAATACAACTTGATGTAAGAATTTTCATCTTTCACGCATGGACTTACCCTTTTCAACCTGTCCTCTTGGTCCTGTGGATTGGGTGCTTGTGGTGGAGCTCCATATGCTCCGGGACCTCCATTGTAGTTGTATCCCACGGCAGCTCCGCCGTATCCCCCTCTGTACGGAGGAGCGAATCCGCCTCGACCAGGCGGCATACCACGTCCACGTGGAGCAAAACCTGCGCCCATACCTGGTGGAGCAAACCCACGTCCTCTGCCAGCGAACCCGGGTGGAGCCATTCCAGGGCCTCCTCTGCCTCCTCGCGTTCCGTATGGTGCTGACCCATATGCTCCTGGTGCATTACCAAACCCTCTTCCTCGGCCACTGAAAAGAATCTTGTTGATTTTCAAACTTATTGAAATGTATATTTGTAATTGTATATAGGTAGAACGAAGAATCGCGTCTTTGAAGATTTCGTTATCCGCCCTCATAGCAGCGAAACTGGAAAGTTTAACCTACCTTGTCGATCCACCTCGTCCAAATCTGTAAAAAAATATATATAGACAATCGCAAAACCAACTCTTACCCATAGTCGTCTCCCCGGCTCTGGTCATCATACGGCTGATCGTACTTGTTGTCCTGGTCATCATTGTAGTCATCGTAGTTTTCTTGGTTTTCGTGGCTCATCTGAAAAGAAATTCTATATAAGCAGTTCTCTAAAAGCAAACAAGTTCATAAATTTCATGAATTCGATGAATCTTAAACGCTAATTACATCAATGACAATTCTGATAGTCAAAAATAAGGATGATAGTGTAATCCTACGGAAACAAATAATTGTACTGAAAACATACTTTGATGATATCTTTCAAAAACACCGTTCGAACTGCGAAATTTTATAAAACAATCATGCAACTGATATGCTGGATATTTCAGTGCTGAAACAGTTGAACTGAAAATTTGTTCAAAAAATTCGTTGAAAACCGCATCGCGACCGCGCCGCGTCTCAAAAATTGTCAGTGGAGCTCACAATGAAAACTATTCAATTTTCGGGGAAAATATTTTTCTTCTTCAATTTTTAATTTTAAACATGAAAAATACATTTTGTGTTTATGAATAGGTTTTAAAAAAGAAAAAAAAGAACTCATTTTCTATGTTATGAATAATCCCATTACTTTTCTCCGCATTTCTCCCTTTTTTTCGACTCTGCTTTTAGGTATTTTGTATGTAACATTTTTATGTCATGTATAACTGGATAAACATATTTATGAATATTATTGAATTGAAAAAACAGACACCCGAATGTCTCGCAGGCGGTGCTTGTATCGAGTTACGAAGCTACGCCCGAACATAAGAGATTTTTGTAAATTTGTAGTATTTTTTTCAAATTGTGACCAAAAAATTTCGAAAACTGAAATCTTTCTAGCTCGCATTTCATCACCATTGCTTTTTGAAAAATATTTTAAACTTTTATTCATCTTTCAGGAATGTCGGGAGAAACGCTGGAATTCCGTGGATGCAATTTCTTCAGGATCCGATTAACTTATTCAATTCTCAGTGGCAGACCCATTCGAATAGTCGATATTAGAAAAAATGACGATAGGCCTGGAATCCGCGGTAGGTTCATCTTCATAAATATCTTCACAAAGTTTAGAATTGTTGCAGATTTTGAAGCGAAGTTGATTGGTCTTCTTGAAAAGGTTACGAATGGAACAAAAGTCGAAATCAGTCGCACAGGAACACAAGTTACCTTTAGGCCAGGAATGATCACTGGTGGAGTGGTTAACGTTGATTGTGGAACTGAAAGATGCATTTCCTATTTCCTGGAGCCGTTGATTCTCCTATCTCCATTCTGTAAGCTGGCAATGACAATAAAATTGAAAGGAGTTACAAATGTCCCGGGAGAGATTTCTGTGGATGCAATGAAAGCTTCATGGTTGAAAGTCTACAATAAATTTGTCTTGAATGACGAAAAACTGGATATAAAGATTCAGTGTCGAGGATTGAAACCTGACGGAGGAGGTGTTGTTACGTTTACAGCTCCAATTGTGAAGACGTTGCGTCCTGTTAAGGTAAGACGACGCCAAATTTATGTCGTACAATAGTTAGAAATTTAGCGTCAACAAGTTGGAAAAGTGTGCAAAATTCGAGGCCAGGCATATGTTACCAAAGTGACCCCATCGTTGGCTTACAGGATGATTGATGCTGCGAAAAAAGCGATGCACGGATACATTTCCGATGTCTTCATCGCAGTTGATCAGAGGAAAGGAGACGCTGGTGGAGCTTCACCAGGATACGGACTTTTTCTCACCGCGGAAACTACAGAAGGTGTTATCTATCAAGCAGAAGCGGTTTCAAGACCGAAAGGAGAGTCTGGAAATCCAATTCTCCCGGAGGATATAGGAATCGAAGCTGGGCATGCTCTCCTTCAGAAGATTTATATGGGAGGCGCATTGGATAGTAGTGCTCAAGTTCTTGCAAGTACATTCATGACTCTATGCCCAAAAGATGTCTCCCATTTCCTCTACGGACCTTTGCCAATGTATAGCGTTCACACTCTTCGCCATCTCAAGCAGTTCTTCGAAATCGAATTCAAAATGGAAGATTATCGAAAAACTCTGAAAGATAACGACACCGATCTCCGAACAGGTAGCCTTGATAAAGCTCTCATAACCGCGGTTGGAGTCGGCTACAGTAATTTGAATAAGACGATTCTCTAGTTTTTTTCTTGTTAACTTGTTTTGTTTTGTTATGTTTTGTTGTTGAGTTATTATCATGAACAAAAAGTTATAACTTTTTCTCTTGATTACGAGTGACTAGAGTACATTACTCTTTATATATCCGGTATCCACTTTTGTATTCGACTATAGCAGGATTCTAGATGTCTCTTGCTTGGCGTCTTCTACGAGAAGCCATCGAGGAAGGTAGAATTATAATCGATACAGCGGTAAGTTTATCACTTTTTCGCTATTATCTGACGTTCAAAATATTTCTTATTTTTCAGGGGCTAAAGGAGAATGTCGTTGAATACATGCATTCCTGGTTTCCGCCTTCGCCACCTGTGTGCAAGTCCGCGCACGAGGACTGCTCTATGCAAAGCACAGAGGATCTAATGGAAAAGACGGTCCATATTCACGATTTACCATCATTTGAGGATGACGTCGAGCTTGATGTTCCGGTTTCCGAAACTTCTGAAATCCCTGAAATTGCCGAAGTCGAGATTTCCCCAAGAAAAGACGACCGACTTGAAAGATATTTGAACGACGCGGCTGAAAAAATGGCTGCTGCAAAGAAATATCGCAAGGCACTGTTGAGTGGAAGCACCAATAAAACGACTTCTCGTATCAAGAAGCGCCACAACCGAATCTATCAGGAAATTGTACAAGAGAAAATGTCGACGAAGTTTGCGATTCCAGGAGAAGCCTTCAGAGATGTTGTCGACGAAATCATGAAGGAAGAATTTGTAAGTTATAAATTTCATGTTTCAGTGTTATCACTTTTCTGTTGGCATGTGTTTGCACCTTTTCAGCCGGAGTATAGTGTCGAAAATGAAGCCCTCGTGGCACTTCAGCGAGAATCGGAGATGATGCTCACCAAGATGATGTGTCTCGCAGGCCACTTGGCTAACCATGCCAGTCGTGAAACCGTTCGAGCGAAGGACTTTAAATTTCTCACCTTCTTGTTTCGTAAGAACAAAGAAGGATGCTCCTTTGATTCGTGATCCGGAGTTTGCTGTTGTTGTTGTTTTTTTTATCACCCGTGTCATGTTGTTAAAGTTTTACCTATGCTTGTTCCCCTGATACTCTTTATTTGCAATGTTTTACCGATTTGTTGTTTTTTTGATACTCTTTATTTGCAATGTTTTACCGATTTGTTGTTTTTTTTAAATTTCAAATGAAACACACTAAATATTGGTTATTTTTTGTCAGACGAATTTTTCTTTCTATATTTACCTGTTTTGTGATACTTATCAATTCCAATGGTATATAATTACAGAAACAACATGAACACGATGATGGGTGATAGTGTTTGGGATTTCTTCTGCAAACGATTTCCACGAAATGAGCAAGACCTTGAGAAGCAAATCGAATTGGGCTCTCGAGTCGAGTGGACTGTTCAGGTTATTATTATTCTTGTGCAAAAAAATTGGAGTT